GCGGGTGTGTGGGGTGGGGGTGCGTGCCTGCCACTGTGGCTGACCTTCTGAAGGTCCGGCATCTAGCCTCAGGTGACAGGCTCTGCTAAGGCAAACGAGCCAATCCAGATCCACCTGTGAATAGTTAATTTGATGATTCATTAGTTATGGAACTTGGTTATATATGGTTCTGAGGGTCAGACAGGAGCCCAGAAAATAGAGAGCAAACTCCTAGGAAAAGAGCTTTGCAGAGGAGCTGGATAGGAAGCCACACCTAGTGGTAGCAGAGACTCCTGGAGAGAGTTACACCCCCCAAAACACAGAGAGGCAGCTTCAGAGGGGAGAGACTACAAAACTCTCAAGGCAGGGAGGCCTGGGAGATACTCTGAGACAGGAGGGGAGAGATTGCACAACTCCAGTCAAAGGAGAAACCTGGGAACTTGGAGGAGGAGAAGGCTTGTTTACTCACTGTTTGGCAGTTGATTACATAAATGAGATTCCTCAAGGGGCATTGATCATTGTACATAAGCATAATTCGACATATTGAAAGCCCCCTAGGGGGAAATGAGGCAGAAGTGTAACTACAGTTCCACACTGGAGGGCACACTCCATTGATGAGTACCTGCTATGGGAAGAGGAGGCCTTGTGTGCAACAGTACTAATAGCAGTTCTGCTATGCAGGGTGGGGGATAGATTTAGGTAGCCTGTGCATATGAAGTTAAGCTAACTCTATTGGATTTCTTTGTACTACGGGCAGGTGGATCTGGTACTCTGAATTTACTGCCATTAGTCCTCCATACAACAGGTGGGGGCCTGCAGAAAGATATTACAGCAGTTTCTCTACGCTCAAGAATAGAATAATAGCTGCAAAGTGTCTATTTTTCATTCTGTAGACTGGATAGAACTTGTGTTCCTTCTCCCTGAAAGCTGAATTACTCTTGTGTCACACAGCATGGTTGCCCAAGCTGTGTGCTGGGACAGGGATTTAGGTCTGTTCAAGCATCACAGCAAGATTTGAAACTAACATAATATGGAGACTCATCCTGATATTTCTGATGAGTGTCTTTCTGTGGGGATGAAAAAACAACAATGGCATTCTGTACAAACTGTAATGGACATTTATTTTTCTTTTTAATTGAGTCATCATTGTCCTTTATAAAATCAAGTCCGAGCTGACTCCTAAGCACATAGAATAATACAATCCACAATGTTGTCTTTTCACATTCAAGTGGCATATAACATCATAATGAGTGGGGAAGAGTGTAGGCCTTGTTTTACAATAAGGCCTGGCTAAATTTAGATTGACATAGCTGTATTGCTCAGAAGTGTGAAAAAATCACATCCTTGAGCACCATAACTGCTGGCAGTTATAACTCTGCAGTAGATATTGCTAGCTCAGTAGAAGCCTTCTTCCAGGACATAGCTACTGGTGCTCAGGGACCTGGATTATTTACAATGACAGAATAACTCTTCCATGGCTGTAAGAAGCATCTGCTCTATTGCACTGCAGCAGTGTAAATATTAACTACAGGTCTGTAACTATGCTGCTGTGGCATCAATAGCATAGAAATGTCCTACAAGACTCCCATCTTCCTAACTGTGCCATTGTATTATAGTAAAAGTAGTTTTATATTCTTCCTGGCCCAGATTGGATGCACAAGTGCCTGAAACCAAATATGGGAGCCATCTCTTATGAGACTTCCAAGCAGGCAAAATTCCTGCCCAGGGAATTCCCCTGGCAGTTTCATTTGGATATGATGTTCTTTGCTCTCTTTCTCTCAGTGCTGGTGTAATGTCACAGGCACTGCTAAACAGCTGTTGTGTTGCATTTCGGTAATGAGTGAAGTGATCCCTATATATTCCTTAATTATCTCATAAGGCTGTCATAAGTCTTCTTTAATGTTTTAAATATGATTTACAATCCTTAGTTGAAAAGCTTGATCCACCAGTGAAGGCTTAGAAGGAATTAGTTCAAGTTACTGCATAGTCTCTGCTTTCTAATGCTAATTTCACATTTGTTCTTAGGCTAAGCACCAGTGTTCCTGCAAAGATTTTCCATCCATGAGCAGACTTGAGTTTTGTCTTGTGCACCAATATTGAGGTCATGTGTGCTAGTCTGGATATGTACTATCATTTCATCCACCAGTTACTAACAAATATATTCACTTTTATTTATATATGGAAGAAAAAATACTAAAACAGCTCTTTCCCAATCACAAAGAATAAAACAAGCAAATCAGCACTTTCACCCACTCATCTTTATTATGATGGACAACCCTATGCTCCAATGTACTGTTTTTGTCCTGCAACCTGCTTATTGACCACCACTGCACTATGTGATTTGTCACTACACACAACACGGGAGGCCTTACAGTCATTTTGAAGAAAATGGATGCTTCCTAACAAATGAGCCTGTACACAATGAATCGTGTTGGTTGTAGCAGACACACACACAGTCCCACTTAAATTGTTTAACTATAAAAAATGTTGTTAAGATCAGATGGCTGAAACATGGAAGGAAAAGATGGAACTCAACATTGCTAAAATACAGAAGTTATTTTGTATATTTGGCCCAGGCCAAAAGATCTCAGATGGAAAAAAGTAACCTTGGTCAAAGCTTAAATATAAAAATGAATAGCAGTTTAGAAATGTAAGCAACTTAAATGAGACATTTGTTCATAACTTGCAATTTTCACTCATGCCCCATCCCCAAAACTCTTTGAAAGTCTAAAATTATTTTAAAAGCAAAAAAATTCAAAACTTCAGCTAGTGAAAAGGTAAGTTTAAAATAGTCTCTCATAATAAACAAGACATAATAAAATTAAACAAAGTTTAAAATACGTAGTCTCTCATAATAAACATAGCAAATAAACCTCAAATTTTCACCCCCCCCATAATTACATAAAAGAAAAAGAAATAAATCAGCTTTTTAAAAATTCCACTAAAAATCCATTCAAATATTTTATTCAAGGTTGCAAAACTGGCAGCTACTCCTTAACTGGCAGAAAGCATCTACTGACAGCCTTAACTTTGTTAGCTAACTCTTCAAGTGTCCTGATGCTTTCACAAAGTTTAACTTTTTTTTCCTTAAGTGATTAATATTAAACATAAAATAAGTGAAAATAAAAAGAGAAAGCCCAAATACCCTAAGTACCTTTGTCAAAAATAAAGCAACTAAAGCAATAAAAATTATAATTAAAATAAAAATTTAAAAATAAGTATAGGTATTCCCAGGGCTTGCCAAACCGTGGCGAGCCCTGCTCGCCAGCCGCGCTGTCCGTTGATCGGTGCATGCACAGATCGTTCTGCGATTGCGCAAATTGCCGGAACCCAAATCTTCCGGGTTGCCATCTACTCACCCCGGGCAAGTAGATTGCATTATTTGTCGAGCCCTGGGTATTCCTATAAATAAAAGAAATCCTTTAAATTTTTTAAAGGCTCAGAAAAGGCCACTAGTTGGGTGGCTTAAAAACCAAAATCAACCTAGCACATGCGTACACGTGCACACACAAAATCAATAAAGCCCAACAATTGAACTCCTATTCAAAATAGGGATATGAATGGTTAACATCACCCTTTTTGGGTGATACTACTTACGGTCAGCTGGCTGGCTGCTCCAGCTCTGTGGGACCTGGCATGCCACAGGCAGGGATGCTCCATCTTCCAATGATCAACTCCCACCCCAGCCTGGGCTGCTGGAGCAGCTGCTGTCCCGTTATGCAGCTGCACACACAGTTCAGGCTCTAGCCCTGGCTGAGGTGGCTGTGGAGCAGCTGCCTGTCATGTGGCTTCAGCTCTGGCCCTGACCAGGGCTGCCAGAGGAATAGCCACCAGCCCCCCGCCATGTGTCTCTGGCCCTGACTGGGGCCGCCAGAGGAGCAGCCAGCTGCGACATGGCCTGCAGCTCCAGCCCTCTGCATGGCTCTTCTGAGGAGGTGGACAAGTGGTACATTTTTAGTGTACGCCTGCACAGGAACACACCTTAGAGGGAACTCTTCAAAGTATCAGCCCAAATTAGAGCTCTACATATCTTATAATTTGTGTTGGTTTTTTTTTTTAGAAAGTCTCTCTTGAATATGAGGCGAAAAAAGGCAAATCATAACTTCCATCTTTTTCTGATTTTGAGTAAAAAACCTACACTCTGTTCCTTCACAACAGTGAGATTTTATGTAATTGCTAGGCAGGCTATTCTTCTTACAAATGATAAAACCTTGAGAAAACTAGTGCTAACCAAACTTTAACTTTAGTTGTTACAAAGACTTTAAACAGCAAATGCAAAGTTCACATTTTGGAACTAGACACAAGTATGCAAAAATTTGTTGTGCCCATTTCTTATATATAAGCTGTGTCATGACATGTCAAATAATTAATTCTACATTTCTTCTGCCTTTAGGTCTTAAAAACCAGACTGGCTGTGGGTAAAACAGGACAATACTCTGGGATGTTTGACTGTGCTAAGAAGATTTTTAAAAGAGAAGGAGTGAAAGCCTTTTACAAAGGTTATGTACCCAATATTCTGGGCATAATTCCTTATGCTGGTATAGACTTAGCTGTCTATGAGGTCAGTTTAATTAATTGATGCCTGCATTATATGTTTAGAAATATAAGAATGTAAACTGCCCTCCTGTTGCCTTCTTAAAATATGCATTAGTTACTCACATCTGTAACTTACTTTGTGGTACACTTATTTGTGCATTTCAAAAAATCTCTCTGGTAGTATGCTCAGGGCTAGTTTGTCATATCTTTGTCCTTAATGTATTACATTATTGCCAACCCATGAATCAGACCCATCAGTGGAAGATTCCCTCACAAGCGCGAGTGTTGTTATTTGAAATTGTGGTCTTGATCTGTCTTGATTTTTGATGATTTTGGCTACCACTGTGGGATCTCTCACCCTCACATCTGCTCCTCCTATACCTCCAGAGGTTTTTTATCCCTTCTTGTAGGCCTGTGGGGGGTCAGCTGCAGTGGGATCCTCTTCATATCCTTCCCAGTCCTGGTGTTGCAGGGAGGGAAATATGAGGAGAGAGGAGCAATGCTTGTGGGAAGGAAGCAGAACTGTGAGAGCATTCTGCCTGCTTCCTGTAGCAGCCCTGTAGGGCTGCCCTTCCCCGGAGGCAGGTGGGCAGAGAAGGCAGTCAATGAGAGGGGGGGCTTCTCCTAGGCAGGACTGAAGATTTTTAGCCTGGAGCTTCTTGTGTCGTCATGAGACTGGCCCCAGCCAAATTTGTTAAAAGAAATCACGACACATAGCAACATTGGTATTATCTATTTTCTATTTGTTTTCTTTCTGAAAAAAAAGTACTACTTTTTGGAGCAGGGAGCATCTTTCTGGTCTGCATTTGTACAGTCCTTAACATAGCAGGCTCCGATGTACTTTGGTAATACAAATAATAAATATTACTACTGCTACAGGGGATGAAGTGGCAGGATCGGGCCTTTACACATGCAGGTGATTCTCTCACAGTCATCCCCTTTTGTCTGTAATATCTAAGGGCACTACTGTCATGAGTAAGTGTTGCAGGATTTGGCCCACATTTTGGAAGTGGATTTCATTGGTTTTAAACAAGAACATTAGACAACTTCTTGCAATGGGATATACTCTTAGCCTTCTTTTTGAACACCCCTCTCATGCCTGGACCACATCATTTCTACAACTCACTTAAACTCCAAAAACCTGGTAGCTACTGTATGTTATCATATGGCTGTGATACAGATGACCATGTGTAACTATTCCCTCTCATTATAACTGGATAATACTAATGTGAACTTATCATAAATGTGCTTCAGACTGCCTACATACAAAAGGAATCTGATATAAAATAAGGCGTGAATTCAAAGTTCTCAGACAGGAGAGGATAGATCAACAGGACAAATAAAACTTCCAGAATGTTGTTAGGGAAACCAGCAAGGTATTCTTGATTATCTTCATGTGTGGATACTCTTATTGCAGAATAAGAGTGCATTATTCCAAATGATTTTAATCTACTTTGGGAGTAGATTAAACTATTTCAAAATAAGAGCATCCATACATGGATTTAATCAGAAATACCTATTTCAAAATGATTTCATGTGTAGGCAAGCCCTGAGGACATATTTTACCAATGGCTCATCTAGTAGCACTGGCTACCAGTTAACTTCTGGATGTAGTTTAAGGCATTGATTTTTGTCCTGTAAAGCCATAATTAGAGTCCCTAAACCTTGCCAGTACTAGCTTCTGTAATATGTTTTTAAACATATACTTCTTTGCCTACACTGGGTGCTAAGTGGTATCTAAAATCACGTTAATCCACAGAAATTAGCTAACACTTTATATAAGGTTTTAAAAAATATTCATTTTTCTAGTCTAAACAAGCCCTTCTGTCATATTACTGCAACTGCCATCAGCAGAATGTGTTAAAGCTGATGGCTCCAGGTTTAAAAGAGTGGTGAAAAATTTGGTGGCATGATATTTTCTGAGAGAGGTCTTCTGTTGGACTCATTTTCCCACCTGCACTTGGTCTGAAATACCTTCATTTGTCAACCTTTTGTGCAGTCTGTGGCTCATGTAATTGGGGGATAGTCACTTCATTCCGATAGGAGAAATGTGCTTCATACTGAAAGGCTACGTCTACATTATGAGTTTTGTCGAAAGAGGCAGTGCAAATGAAGCGCAGATTAGCTTTTTCTCGTGCTTCATTTGCGTACTCTCATCCGATCCGTTTTTGCGTGAGGAGTTTTTGCGCAGAAACAAGCCGTGTAGACGTTTCCTTTTTGCGCAAGATCCTTATGCCTCAAAAAAGGAAGTATACCAATCTTGTGCAAAAAGGGGTTTTTGCGCAAAAACAGATCAGAAAAGAGTATGCAAATGAAGCGTGAGAAAATGCTAATCCGCGCTTCATTTGTATTGCCTCTTCTGGCAATACTTGTAGTGTAGATGTAGCCAAACTTGAAAAGGCTATTTAATATTTGTATCTATTGCATTTTTATTTTGTGATGCATGTGGATTACTACTATAAGACTTGATCCTCCCCATGCTGAGTGCTATGGTCTGATCAAAGAAAGCTCTTAAGCATGGTCTTACTTTAAGCAGTGAAATAATACTACTGAAACAATGAGGAGTCCTGTGGCACTATAAAGACAAACGGATTTATTTGGGCATAAGCTTTTGTGGGCAAAAACCCATTTTGTCACATCTGATAAAGTGTGTGTTTTGCTCACAAAAGCTTGTGCTCAAATAAATCCATTTGTCTTTAAGGTGTTACAGGACTCATTGTTTTTTGTGGGTACAGACTAACACAGCGACTCCTCTAATACTTAATATCACTGAAATAACTGGTCCTACTTGTGTACATACAAAATTAAGAATGTGCTTATGTGCTATATTGGATTGAGACAGAGCATTCAACACCTTGCAAGATCAAGCCCATAAATTCATTTGGAATAGTTTTGTGGAGATAAAGGAACATCTTAAAATTGTTGTTAGCTGTAAACTCTGGTTAGCCATCTAGTGTGAACTTTGATATACATCTCATTCAAATCCATTTATGTTTTCCTGGCAGGCTTTGAAGACTGCTTGGCTAGATCGTTATGCATCAGACTCTGCTAACCCTGGTGTCTTTGTGTTGCTGGGATGTGGTACTATCTCCAGCACCTGTGGCCAGTTAGCCAGCTACCCTCTTGCTCTTATCAGAACTCGCATGCAGGCTCAAGGTGAGAATTGGGATTTGGAAGAATATATTTTAAATGTATTTATAATTTGGAGAATACCCCCTATTTAATTTGCCTGTTTTTAAGGTGTCTAATACCATATTAACCTTGCCCATCTATACTTTTGATTGGCATTGGATTTGTTAGTGCTTGACACAACCTTCCTGTTACAGATTATTGCTCTTTGTATGTTTTAATATTTATATTTTATAGATTTATGTCAATCATCTTAAGTATTTTACCCATTTATGGAACTCCTATCAGAAGCTATACAAAAATAACATTGTAAAATTAAAGGTCAACAAGTAAATAAATGAAGATCTAACGGTCAGAGTAAATGTATGGCCAGAGGAGGCCAAAGAATTTGGTGTGGAGGAAAATTCTGTGACCCTTAAGGAAAATGTCCTCCACTGAAAAAAGGGTCATTTTCCAACTGTTGCAAATAGGTGAGAAAAAAGGTGGTAGAAGCTGCATGGGTGAGGTTATCAGACAGGAGAGGCTAGATCTCAGGACCAATAGAACTTCCAGCATGTTGCTAAGGCAATCAACAAGATATTCTTGTGGACCTGTCATGGGAGGGAGTTCCAAGGCCCAGGTCTGCAGTTGAAAGAGACCTGGCTCAAATTTAGGGATGAGAACAGATCTGCTTTCTGTGTTACGAAACAGTGTTGAGGGGTCACTGTACCACGCCCATTGGATTAGTGGTGATAAGTTGTGCATCTGTTTAGTGAGGAGCTTTATATGATTAGGATATTAACATCACTAGAACTGCTGTATAATGGAAATTGCTATCTTCCTTTTCTTTTCTAGCCCTGTTGGAAGAAGCCCCACAGCTAAACATGGTTGGTCTCTTTCAAAGGATAATTGCTAATGAAGGGATCATAGGACTTTATAGGGGCATAGCCCCAAACTTCATGAAAGTGCTTCCAGCTGTCAGCATTAGCTATGTGGTTTATGAAAAAATGAAGCAAAATTTGGGAATAGCATGAAAAGAAGGAAAAAGCTGATAAGCATCTACCATTTTCAGGAACATTCAAACCAAAAAGGATTTCTCAAATAACTGATTTGTTCTTATTTATAATTGGAGAACAGATTCCGGTGCAGAGACGCTGTGGATATGTTTTTTTCTTCAAGTTTAGTTTCTAATCTCCCATCCCCAAACTGCTATCATATAGCAATTGAAAGCATGAGTCTGTGGATTTAAAAAAAAACAAAAAAAAAACCCCACAGCATCTTTAAATCAGCTACATGTTAAAAGACTATCAGGAAACCATCTATGCTTTAGGTGTTGGCTTTTTTTTTTCTTTTTCTTTTTTTGGTAATTTCTGCTCCCTCAAATATGCATTTGAGTGGGATGAAGCCATATTTGGGAGAGAAGTATACTGCACTGGAATTAAGACACAGATTTGTCAAATCATTTTATATGCAGGCAATTCACAACTTCCCTTTTGCACATATCTATAAAAGTAATATTGCTTTTTTGATAAACTGTTAAAATAAGTCCTGGAAAAAACATTGTCTTAGAGACAGTTATGAATAGAACACCACATTAAATCTTGAGAATGACAACATATTTTACTTATATTTCTCTGTTTCTGGTTTAAAGAGATGAAAGTGCAAGGGGATGTTGTTCTGCGGTATCAGAAAACCTCATGCTGAGTTAAATGCTACTCATTTATGGTACAGTCACAATGACCTGTATGGCTTGTTTCACTGGCCTCTTTCTATTTAATTTGTAAATGCTGGCAGCATTAGCCAAAACTGTCTTGGTTCTTGATGCAAGGTTTGTAAGATCATAAAGTTAGCAACAGAAAAGAACTACTGGATCACTAAATTCCCTGCAAGAGCAAATTTCAGGATAAAGGAAGTATCTGGTATGAAATTTTGGCTGCATTAATTGGAGTATACCAAATAGGGATGTCGACGTGTAGTCAACTACACAATTAACTGATAAACCTGGGTTTATCAGTTAATCCTATCCACTACATGCCTCCCCATTCTGCCTTCCACATTATGGTGCTTTTATACCAGTTCTCTGCGAGCATTGGCTCCTGCCAGGCTCCCCTCCCCCATGTAAAATTTCAAGCAGTTACACGTTTACACAAAAATCCAATAGTTAACATCCCTAGTACCAAACCAAACATGAGCAAAGATTCTAGGGCTGGTTGTCAGGAAGTTTGTAAATTATTTTTCTCGGTGGGTTTTGGAATGTTAACCTCATCGTACTAGAGCCTGAGGACTCATTTGTTTCCCCTTCACAATGTTTGCAGTTCAACAGCATCCTTGTAGTTGAGTTATACAGAAGGGAGAGTTGCCTTCAACAGTGTGATCTGAAGGGCTGAGTGCCCCGGCCAGTAAATGAGATGAGCTAGCCTGAGTGTGTAAGCAGGATGCAGCAGTCAGACCATTAAAGTGACCCTGGGCTTTTATATTAATGGAGGAAATTACAAACAAAGCACTCAAAGAAACCAAGATAAGCCATTATTTCACAGTATTTCCCATATATTGGATAGATATTGTAATATACAGACACTTCATAAATGGTTTCCCCACTAAGCTATATTTCAGTTGCTTGCTGGCCTAAAACCTGACACAAAATAACTTGTAGTAGTACTAATTTGCACTGATTCCATAGCAGACAGAACATACAGAATTTGGCCTTTTATTTCTCTCTCTCTGTCTCTGTCTCTCACACAGACACACACTTACTTTTCATTCTTGATTTTATTGATCCTGTGAGTTAATCTGGTGATACTATGAAATGGCAAGCTGGCTTTAAGATAAAAGTAACTTGCCCTCTTGTTTGTGCACTTCTTTTAAAAGCCAAAGTAGATTGCATCACACAAGGTATTGTGGTGCCTAGATACAATATTTTTATGATCTGATTGTCCATGCTCTTTTATCTTTGCCATATTCTTTGTTCCTGCATGTACGGTAATTCACGAGAGCCAGTTTTGTTTCTCAGTTATCCTTGTGACTGTAACTGATACACAAGATGATGTAAGCAGTGCCTGCAGTATAGCCAACTCAGTCCAATTTGTTAATATTGTAAAAGTGCTATCATGAGTGTTCAGTTATGGTGGGGGGACTTTCAAATGCTGAAAAACATGAGACTATGTGAGTTTTAACTTTCACCATGTGCCTCTGTCTTCAAATTGTGTATTTTTATTGTGTATTTGAAAAAGCTGATCACTTTTATAGATCTGTAAAACTACCAGTGTATAATAAATGTTTGTTTTCTAATCTGTCTAGGATGTATTATGTTTTTCATCATTTGGAAGGCAGATAACAATTCCCTTAACTCTAGTACTGTGTGCGTGTTTGTATTCAAAATGAAAGACAAACTAGCTCTAGCTAAAAATTTGTACTGAAATCAGTGTACCTGGTACCCATTACAGTGGTATTTGAACACTTACTTTAGCATTTAAAGACTCTGTCCTGGCTACACTATATAGTCAAATCCTGGGGTCTCAACTCAAGTAGTAATATTATTTCACCTTGCAGTGTAGATGGGAACAAGTAAAGTTTCCAAAGTCTTATTCCTTAGCACAGTTCAAAGGACTTAATTAAACCATGATTTGGTATGATTTACTCTGCAAGATGGAAGAGCATTTTACCTGTCAAAGGACAGCTGTGTTTTTAAGAGTGGATTAACATAGCTAATGCTTGTTGTACACATTGTCCATCTTTGCTTTCTAAGCTAGCTTTAAATTAAAGGATCACTATAGGTTAGACCTACCTGGTCTGGCACCCTCGGGACGTAACTGGTCCTGAAGAAGGGAATTTGCCAGACCAGGGGAGGTCCCTTGCCACTGGCCCCCCATCCTGCCACAGGCTCTGTTTCCAGCCTTGGCTGGGCAGCCTACCGCTGGCCCAGGCTCTGCTAGTTGTCAGACTGTGATGGCTCTGGTCCCCCTCCCCCATTATGCTGCTGTTGCCTGGCCTCCCTGTTGGGCTGCTGCTCGCCCTGCTGGGCTCCAGGGCTCCCAGCTGATGGTCTTCCTACTGCCTGACTCCCAGCCACCGGGGCTCTCACCTGGGAACATCCGTGGTTCTATTGGACCACGGATGTTGCTGGACTAGAGAGTCCTGGCTTAAGGAGATGCAACTTCGTATATACAGCCTTTTCAGGACAACTGGTTTCATTTATGTTGCACAAATAGTGGTTTGCTTGCGTAGCTAAGTATGGAGGGAATGACCAGCATAGAGAATTAATTTTGGTTCTACAGTCTTTCACTTTGCTCTTTTCCTTCTTAATATTTAAATTCTATGGGAAGAAGCCTCCCAAAATTTGAATGTCATTCAGTATCTAAAGTACTGTACATGATACATGACTAAACAAAGAGATAATGCACTATTACCCTCTTCTCCTATAGGTGAGTTAAGGGCTGTGTACGATTCCTGACTGAACAAACATGTCCACAATTCAATTCTTTATGCACATAAGGTGAGAATGTGCAGATGCAGATGTGTTATTGGAAGGATTTAACTCTAAAAATAGAAAAAGAAAAAAGGGTATTAGTGCAACTTGCATTCTGAGGAGCTTGGAGATAATGGTTCCAATAAAACATTATTGCGTATGATTGATTTTCTGGCCCACGAAAGCTCATCACCTAATAAACCATCTTGTTAGTCTTTAAAGTGCTACATAGTCCTGTATTTTGTTTCAGCTACACCAGACTAACACGGCTACATTTCTATCACTATTCGGGATAAATATAATTATTCTCATCTTACACATGGAGAAATTGAGGCACAGCAAAGGTAAGTGACTTATTCAATCACGCAGCAAATCAGTGTCAAAACCAGCAATAGAATCCTGGATTCTTTATCTACTGCTGTACCCACTGGATCTTGTAATGATAGCCCTGGATTTTGACAGACACAGTGCTTGTAATAGTTGCAATGTGCCTATCCAGTCTAGTTTGTCTGCTGTAGAAAGGGTCATGTGCACATCTCTTCCCTACTTCCTGTGCTATGGCTAGTGATTATGGTAGAGACATCCCTATGGTCATCTTGTGTTTTCTAGCCAGAGTTCCCCCTCGTGGGAGCCACAAGAGAGGGAAGAGAAAAAATGCCTCCATCCTTGCTCCCTCTTGAATACCTGGGTGCAGTCTCGCCATTACTCTCTACTCCTGCTGCATCATTAAACTGGCACTGAAGGAACGGCTTAGTGATGTAAAGGTGTCTCTGCATCTCCTCTGAGCAAGCCAGCCAGCCAGCACACTGCAATTGGAATGTTGGCTAGATAGTCACTCCCTAGGGTTCATCTCCACGCATTGTTTCCCTTAGAGCTCTCTCCAAAATGTTGTCTCCAAAATAGCTGCAGCCAAACCCTGGGTTCCTTGAGCCTATTGATTCACAAAGCCCTGCTAATGTGAAGTGAAACAAATCACTGAGCATGGTGCAGTGAAACTGAAACGTGCCAATTTTTTTCCCCTACAGAATGTCAGCACACACTATTCCAGTGGTGAGGTAACGCGAGGCTTTTCAAATGGGCTTCTGACTGGGACCTACAGTTTACCAGGGGCTCGCTGAGGAAAGAAGGCTACTACGTTTGTGAGATAATTCACTGGCAGGTCTGAAGGGGTGGACTATCCTAGACCCAGGCAGAGTACTTAGTCTCACACAACTCAGGTTGAGAGAGACCGGCAGATTGCTTGGGGGTTGCCACTACAGGCCAGAGGAATGTAAAGGCCCTGTTCCTCTCCTGCAAAGGGCCCTCAGTGAAGAGCACAGCCCAGTGAAAGGAGGCTGCAGCTATTCAGAAATGATTGTTGGGAATACCAATGTGACCAGGCCATCCAACACCTAACGAAGACCCATCAGAAAGATAATGTGAAATAAGATACTGTCCATATTGAATGGGAGTCCATAGTAACCCCTCTGTAACCCTTTTTTGGAGTTTAAATTGCATCGCATACGTGTATCTAGTCTTTAAACTCAACAGTGCCATCTATTGGTGCACTGCAATAGAGGCGTAAAAAAAGTGACCTGTTCACAACTTTCCAAGTGTCCTCTGCCAGATTTGCAATGTGCTCTATGGTGCTCAGATAGCTGAGTGTCTGTGAATTGGGAAAGAAGCTGGCGGGTCTAGACAGACAGTGGAAAATGCCAGCAGCAGAGGTAACTTTCACCTTTGTTTAAATGGGACTCTAGCCTGTAGCAGCACAGCAACATATCTGCTTGGGTTGTATATTCAGCTCTGGTAGTGCCAATGTGTAGTAATTGAAGGTGGGATTGGATTTGTGCTACAAGACAGACAGCTATGACTTGTCTGAGTTCTTTGGGGGAGGGCTCTTCTAACTGAAAAGGTTATGCAGTGACCAATAGCAGGGGGTCACACACTTTATAGTGTCTGCCAGCTAATTATTTCACAAACCTGAGGTTTCTTACATTCCTCCATTCCCTCCACCATGTGCCATCCGCCCAACCCCTTTCAAGGGCTCCCTACAACTCCCCCTACTCTCCTTTGTGTCATGGAGGATGTTTACCCTCATTTACCAGGGTCCCCCATTCTGTCCTAAAGCCAGGCTCTGAGTGTCTCCTGTTCAGGAGTCCCTTAGAGCTTGAGCTGTGTTCACCCCCCATTTGCGCTACCATTATTTTAAATCTGGTATTCAGGGTGTCAGCCTGTTCAGCTCTACAGAGAAGTTAATCAGAGATGACCTAGGGGACTGTTACAATGCACAAAGTTAATAGGTGCCATCTGCCAGTTTGAGCTATAAAAAACTGCAGAGGTGGTTGAAGCTGTATAAAACAGATGGTAAAAGATCTGCACGTCCCCCTTCCCTCCTTTGTTTTTCTAGTATTCCCCAAACTAGTTCAGGCCACTGGGCCTAGAACAGACCCTAAATTTTTTTTGAGTTGGTTAGTGTTCAAATGTTGTTATAGAAATGCTATCAAATTAAGGTTTTGCAAACTTAGTGTGAGGGGTGTTCATTCCACACAGCCCCTGACTGCTAAGAGTGGGCTAGAAGGGACCAATTAACTTTATAGGTTGTACCTGAAGGGGAGCCAGAGCTTGATGAGGACTAATTGCAGATGAAGTGAGTGCGGTTAGGATGATAAAACTGGCACGACACAGCAGGAGTTGATTGTAAGGCATGAGGTGTAGCCTTTCCTGAGAAGTAAAGGGATTTTAGGATAAAGAGGAAGCCTAGGGTGAAATGAGCTCTCGGATATGGGCTTGACTTAGGGATTCTGGCAAACTGCTGAGAGGGATGAGATAGCCACAGGGAGCAGAGAAAGCTGTGGTCGTAAAACTAGAGACAGACCAGACTGATGGGGAAGAGGAATAGAAAGGAACCCAGGAAAACACCAATTGAAAGTGAGCACACATGGATTGCCAATCTTGGCTGGAACTCAGAGTTGGTGGGTGAGTGAATGGCCCTGAGTTCCCCTATCAGGTGTGGCAAGTGGTCTAGAGGTGAAGTGGAAGACCGTCTGAAGTGGCATCTGGGCAGCTTGTCTGGTGAGAGCTCTGATACCTTGGAAGTGGGGACTGTAGAGCAAGCTAGAAGGCTGAGTCACAGAGAGAGAGACCACAGCATAAGCAACTTGCAGCAGGCTTGTCATGTGTGGCAACAGCTGCTTCCTGGAACCAGAGGGTGCAACTGTGGGGAGAGGAGTCCTTTACAGCCAATCATAGGGATGTTTTGAAGAAGGACACTTGGCATAAAAAAATTGATAATTTTATTTTCACAGAGCATGGATATGAGCCTGAGTTTTTAGAGGTGAGTGAGATTGCAAGTGTGTCTGAGGTACACAGCAATCCTGAGAATTAGCCCCCTGTGTAGCTATAAATGAATTACTTGTGTGTGTATTTGCTACAGAGTAATCAGCAGCTCTCTGTAACTTGTCCAAAGCAGCACAAATGCTCTATAGAGAGTATGAAGTAAGAGGTTCCCCTCCCCCCTCAAGTATCACCAATCTATTGCATGTGAACCCCACTGCTAGGTCTTACCTGCTTCCAAACCCACTGGGTCTATGTAGAGTCCAATCACTGTGCGCTCTCTCCCACTTGAAGCTTGGTCTCTGCCCCTACCCTGGAGTCATGTCCCAACTTTGTTACTAGAAGGGGGTCACAGTACAAGGAGGTTGGAGAACCCCTGGACTTGATCATGAACTCAGAGCCTGGTGCTTTGGCGTCTCCATGATCCATATAGATGGACTTGTCTTGCCTTCACTGATTGGTTCCAGGTGTTCTCAGTGTCAGGATCAGTGATAGGTCCCTTGCTCCAAGTCCCTAAACTTCACAGTCTGTCTTGAATGAACTCTTGCTCACCTAGGCATCCGTTCATCAGGCAAATCTTCCCCCTACCCCTCAAAAAAGCCAGTAAGAATTCAGCCTTAAACAAGGCTGCTACCTGGCTACATCAGAATATCTGGTGGAGAGCTCTCACAGATGAGTCAGAATTGTGACGAGTGATCAGGGATCTTCTGTAAGCCTGTGATTTGAGATCACACCATGAAGTTTGTAATTAAAATCCCCCTGATCTGGATAACCTGCTATCTTGCTACAAAATACAATACCTGACCAGTGATCTGAGCTAATAGAAAACGACAGCCTGCAGTATGTCAGTGACTTCATATTGGGTTGTCTGAAATAGCTCATGAATGTGGGTTCCAATCTCAGGGCAGACTGTTAGAAGCCAGAGGCACAAACCCTAAACTAATTGAGTGTTCTAGAATTAGCTATCATTAGCCAGGTCTCAAGTGCAAACTCCTCTGCCACTAAACTTCCTGAAGATAGAGTGAGAGAGTCCTTTGGGTTTCTCTGGTTTATGTGTTTATCCAGGTAAGCTTGCCCTTGTGGTAAGTAGAGTCCCTTACACCAAAACTCTCAACATATGACTGACTCCTAGTTCCAAAAGATCAGTTACTTACTCTAGGTCAGTTGTACCTTAGCGCTCTTGCGAAAGACAAGTCTTGTAGCCATGCCTATAAAAGATTTATTATCTGGAAAACAGAAACCAGGGTTGCTTTACAAAGTCAAAGCAGGTAAACCTACCCACCCACCTGCCTTAGGTTCCAAAAGGTGCAGTAGCATCTATATATGCAAGCTCTATATGTCTGTTTAACCCAAACTAAGCATGTTGGGGGAATCCCTTGCTTATGCTTAGAAATATTGCCCTCTTTGTATACACGCTGACTTCCCTTCTAGATGGGGATGCTCAACTCTCCCATCCCCATCTCCCCCTAAGCCCTGCTCCTTCTACACTTCCTCCCTGTGTCCCTGCTCCTCCCTCTTCCTCCTGGAATGCCTTCAATGTTGCAAAACAGCTGTTTGCTGGGGAGGTGGAAGCTTCTGGGAGGAAGGAGTGAGCGAGCAGCAGGGCTGCTGGTGGGTGAGAGATGTTTGGTGAGGGGGTGGAGCTTGGGTGCTAAGCACCTGCTAATTTTTCACTGTAGGTGCTGCAGCCCCAGAGCCCCCAGCATCTGTGCCTATGCCTCTTAGAAAGCTAAGTTTTAGTTAACCTGACTTTTTAGTTACAATTCAAGTTATCACTTACCCTGCATGAGAACTGGGAAAGTGAATCTATGCTTGATAGTCTTATGGGAAAACTAAGATTGTGCAGAATGGTAGATCCATAATTAAATATAGAGACATAGTTGTTATAACCTTTAGATGCCTATCTTAGGGATGTTAAATTTTGTTTAATCAACGCATTTTCCATTGACTAGTAAATTAGTTGATAAGCAGGGCGCTTCAATGGGATTAGTTCCTGGCCCCAGGGGCTAATCCCACTGTGGCTCTTCCATTTAAATGTACATTTAAAAGGCTAAAGCGCAGCAGGCTGTCCTGGCATGAGCCAGGCCAGCTAATTCCCTGCTCTTGCTGGGTCTCCCCCACTGTACTTCTGCTTTTTAAATGTATTAAAAGTGCATCATCTGGGACTGGACGTGAGCTGGGAATCAGCTGATTTCTGCGCCTGGTCCCTGCTATTCCTCTGCCTGCCGCGGAGACAGTGCTGGGGAGAACTGGCTTTTAAGCTGGCTCCACCCAGCACTGGCTCCTGCTCCCCCACTTGCTGCTTCTAATAGTGTCATGATTATGAGGGTTAGCCATCAGCCTGCGGACTAAGGGGTTAACTATGTCCCTTAACTAGCCAGGTGGAGTGGCCAATAGGAATGTAAGTAGGAATTTCAAACTGGGACAAAGGAATTTGTTTTTTCCCTCCTTTGTTCTGGGCAGTTCTCTCTAGCTATTGAGGGGGATAGACACTATGTCTCCCTCCAAGAAAAGACTCTTTCTTCACTTTCTGTAAGAGGGTAAAGTTTAGATAAATCCGTTAGGTTTCATTGTTTTATGGTTTGGGTATGAGATCTGCTGTCTGCACTTTTAAAAAAATGTTTTGGCTTTCCTTTGTAACTAAGTTCTAGGCCCATGGAGTTTCTCCATGAGTATATTATTTTGTTACTTTTCCATCTAATTGTTATGCTTGCAACAGGAATAGTGTGGTGATAATAAAACTTTTCTCTTTTCCTTTTATTAACCTGGTATTGGTTAATGGTGATGTCCTGCTTTTTGCTTTAGGGGTGAGATTTTCCCAAATGGTCTCTCCCCTGGTTTCGTTATAAATGTGGGTGGTGGCAGCGGAGATTCTAGGTTTTTAAGATTTTGGGGGGAAGTTTTATACCAAAGCCTGGTAGATAAGGTTTTGGGGTAATTGCTGGCCCCCACTTCTGCATTTATCGTGCCAGAGTGGGGAAGGAGCCATGATATATAGGCAGCAAGGGAGGGGAGCAAGCGACTAGTTGAGGGACTAGTGGACTATCCAATAAGCTTTTGCTTATTGTATAGTCGACTGGTCGCTTACATCCCTAGCCTACCTTGCACTTCTTTTTTTGAGAATTCCAGGTAAGGTACTTACATGCATACAAATACCAGAAATGCAAAGCACTGAACTTAACAGTCATCATGAGATGTACAGAGTATGTGTGTATTTGTAATTGTAGCTTTGGTGCGACTTCAGCATCACCTCACAACAGGCAATTAGGCAGGGAGAGGTTACCTTCCCTCTGACAGGAGACTGACATGCTTGAAGCCATTGTTCAGTCCAGGGAAAAACAGTGAGGAATCATCAAAGCAAATGGTAACAGCTTGAAACAGTTTTTGAAAACTCTTGTTTTCTTTTCAATGAAATGATGGAGTTTTCCCCACTTGGAATATCCCTAATGATTGAAAGGAAAACTTCCCTTTAATATACCTATATACCCTTTTAATATGGAAGGAGTAAATGAAGGGCACCCAGCTGCTAAAGGGACAGTCTCAAGGTGGGAACTGTCCATGAACAACAGAACACTCGTGTAGCTAGCAGGGTGTACTGGGAAATAGTTTCAAGTCAGTTAGTAGCTCTTTTTTAGAAAAGAAATTTTTATCTAATATGAAAGTGTAAATCCTGAGGTTGTCTTTGTTGTTTCTGCTAACTTACTTTTTTCTTGCTATTTCATCTTTGAATCTGTAGTTTTTCTGTTAAACAAACACTTTGTTTTCATGCCTCCTTTTCTGCTTAGTGTTTAAGAACCCTAAAAAGGAAGTGAAGGGTAGAACAGTCCATCCTCTTGTTATTTTGTCCACCAATTGCAGCCAGGCAGCCCTCCCCCATCTCAAACAATCTTGCTTGCCCTCTAAGATGTCTGTATACAGAGCAGAGAAGGAACAATAAGAAGATCAGCATAGCCATTAAGCTTTGATCTGCTTTGACCAGGATATGCAAGTTTCTGACTCTGAGTAACGATTAAGGAAATAAGCTAAGCTCGAGGCTGCAAGAAGTGTCAGGCTGCACCTATGTTGATTCGAACACACACAGTCCCTGGAAGAGGAATTTCCCACTGAGAAAACAATGTCCAGTACTTCAAATTTAATCATCTCAATTCTCTCTTACAAGTGTAAATTAAGTTCACAACTCCCTTGTAAGAACTGGTCTCACAGCAGACAGACCAGCATCAATTGGCATTACAGATAAGAAAGAGAAAATACGTGACCCAATGGGTATATAAGATGGGCCCAGCACACACTCACTTTGAGTGTCAATCTACCATTTACCTGCTGGTCGGGTTAGGTGTTTGACCTCCCGAGGTCCACGGGGACGCCCACCTCGTATTTTCGTCTTTCCGAGGAATTGAGGGACCGATCCTGGCCTGACACGCTGGGACCGAGTGACGCAGAAAGGGGTAAAAATTGTACCTGTAAGTGTCCTTTTGTTTTAGTGCATGCATAGAATAGAGCTCTTTAAAGATTAAGCTGTCATTTGGTACCATTATTTTCTATTTCCTATCTTTATTTTCCTTGTAACCATTTTTTTTAAGATCTATCTATCTATCTATCTGCCAGCCGTTAAGAAATAGAACAATAGCCATTGCAACCACATGATTTATAAGCTTCCTCAAATAAACCTGTAACTGTTTAAGCTTTAACCTGACTCCTTCAGTTGCTGTAATAGAACCAAGCACAATTTAAAAGAACTTCAGCCGGTCATAAAGGGACAGATATAGGGAGAGCTTGGGCGTTTGGATTTGTGTCACACCCAGGTGGCAAATTCCGTTGGGGCGCTTCTCAGTCTCCCTGAGGCTGCCCGCTGCGAAGGAATTATGAAATTCTAGCAGCTGAAATCTGAAGCGTAATAAGCTCTTCCTGTACACTTATTGGGGCACCCTCCAGCCTCTTCCAGGTTGCCCACTGCAAGGGACCCCGGTCTCAGCAGTTGAAGTCTTGGGTGTATATTACACACACACACACCACTCACTGCCCTGACCGTCGGCTGACACCAATAGACCCAATTTTCAATACACCAATTCTGGGTTCATTGGTGGTATTGTGTTTTGTGTGTGTGTGTGTGTGTGTTTTGTTTGTTTTTTTTGTTTGTTTGTTTGTATAATCCTCAGTTTCCATATTTACCAGGCATGATCAGAGCACATTGCTTGAATTGTATAAGTAGGCCTTTTTTGTTCTAGTGTAAATAAAAAGATACACTAATATAATTTAAGGATGTGTTCAGATCATGCTTGATAAGATGGGAGTTTTTGTTTTTGTGTTTTTGCTTGTTTACAGAGTATAGAACTGAATCAGTTTAGGCTTTGTCTCCCTTTTCCACCTTCTCCCATCAACATTTGATTTATTATAGATTGACACCTTTTTATAAGAAATTATTCACTTTCTATAGTTGAACTCCTAACTTGGGCAAGTCTGTAGGGCCAGTTATTAAATATGATGCATTTGGGTTCCAAGTTGTCTAACTAAAGGAACAGGCTTGCAGCTTGTGCCAACAGATCAACTGTGGCACAAACAGAGTTACCTGATATCAGACTCATAAATACTTAATTTTGATTTGCCAGTTGGCTACAGTTTGAGTAGGGATCAGCTTAGGAGAAGTCTAATGCAGCACTGCCTTTCTCTGCAGGGGGCTTACTACTTCACCTTTGTCTTCGGTGATTGTGAATCGCTCTCTGGTACTGTCTCTCTGACTGTTTCCCATTTATGTTATGCTAAAGCTGATGTAACTTCGTGTTCAGTGTCCCTACTGGGAACATCTGCCTTTTAGTTTGATTCCACCAGTAGGTTTTAGCCTTTCAAATTCACTATATTAAAGAAGGGATAAAAGGGCAGATTTATTTAATCAATAATTCAGTAGGTAAGGCATAGAGTGAGAGTTCAAGAGATGTGGGTTCTTATCTCAACTTGTCAAGTCACTTCACTTCTCTATGCCTTTGTTTTCCCCATACATTCCGTTTTGTCTGTTTAAATTGTAATTTAGTTCAGGGAGGGACTCTCTAATAACAAAGAGGTTACCATTCAGTGCAACTGTGTGTGGAGCCCCACACTCTGCTAGATTGCATGAATGCTTCCAGAGCCACTCACAAATCCTACTGAAAAAGGCATCCGTTAAATCCCCCTAGCTCCCAGCCTGGTACCACAGGAATATACTGTCTTACCTTGCTCAGGACCCTTGAGCAATGCACGTTTCTTAATTGGTTTACCACTTCTTCAAAGGATGTGCACCAGCCTTTGTAACCTGAGGAAATTTACCCAGAACTTCAGTCAAACTCACTGGGAAGGATAAACATTATATCATGCTTATTGATTACAAAAGATAGGTTTTTAAGTGATAGGCAAAGTCAGTAGTTACCAAAAGAAAATAAAAGATAAGCATGCAGTCTAAATTCTCAGCCTTATTAAGACTATGCAAGATCTGGACAAACAGTTTTCCTCAATCCACTGGATACTGCAAGTTGGTTAGTCTTTCAAATACAGGTTCTCCCTGTTGGCTTGGGGACTGGTCTCCTCAGCTCCAGCATTCTTGTTGCCTTCGCTGGAGGGGGGCAGTCGGAGGAAGAGGGGGCAATGGGAGGGAGGGCGGGCATACTACAGTCATATGGGCTCTGTCCTCTATTTTATAGCTTCATTCCACGTGCTTAGAGAACACAGGTCCAGGTGTGGAAGTTGATTACCTACCTTGTTGTCTCTGGGGAGCTAATAGCTGGGTGATTCCCTCAACCCACAATATATATTAGTGACAATACAATGTAATCTCTTAACTTTATAGGCACTAATGAGATCTCTATTTAGAGAGAGCAATGGCAAATCATAACCTTTCCCATTTGGTATGCAGTATGACACCCCACAGTTGCATATACATGGTGAATAGGGAGAGTTACAGAGCGCTTCCCTGAGGTACAGAATCTCACAGCAACTATCCCAGCAGATCACCATGCGAAAGGCATAGGCTATGGCTACATTGGAGAGTTCACAGCAGTGCTGTGGTGCTGCAATAAACTCTCTAATTTAGTGGCTCTAAGCCAGTGGTTCCCAACCTTTTGGGGCTGCTGGGTGCCCAGGGGCGGAGCTGTGCATGCACTGGATGCCCGGAGGCGGGGCCAGGCATGCGCCAGGCACCTGTGGGTGGGGCTGCCCATGAGCTGCACGCCCAGGGCCGGTGCCATGCATGTGCTGTGCGCTGGGGGTGGGGCCAGGCTAGATCTTTTGGCAGGCACACATAAATGCTCCAGCGGGCGCCATGGCACCCGCGGGCACCATATTGGGGACCACTGCTCTAAGCCAACCAGAGAGAGCTCTTCTATCGGTTTAATTACTCCAGCCATCACAAGCTGCAGTAGCTGTCATGCTGTCCACACTGATGCCAAGGTACTGCATGTCACTTGGGAATGGGAGTGGCTTATTCAGTGAGGTGAATGACATACATTATGCTGATACAAGCTGTAGATAGACACATCCAGTGCATAGGATGGTTTGGGGTGGCCTTGCACTTTGGGGGGACCCTGGGGCAGCTGCATGAACTGTCATATTGACAGGACTCATGGGGCCCAGGGCGGCCTGGGGGATTACCTGGGGAGCCTGGTATGGGGCAGCAGCAGGGGTCAGTCCCCCCTCACTCAGTGCGACTCACTCTGCTTCCCCAAGCAATGCAGGGCTCGGGAGCAGAGGGCCACTGACTGGGACTGGGGCACTTCATTTCCCACCTCTGCTACAGCAAAGTAGAGCTCAGGGAGGTGGGAGGGGGAGCGGAGCAGGCTGCTGGGTTGCTCCAGCTCCCACTGCACCAGATCTCCCCACTAATTCTCCAGCTCATATAAGTGGGGTGAGGGTGCTTCAGGAATGGGGTGGAATGGGAGCGGGGGGTGGGTTGGAGGAAGGAGGAAGAGGTGGGGTGGAGTAGGGGCAGGACAGAGCAGGGGCAGGGTGGAGTGGGATGGGACCTGTGCCTGCCTAGGGATGGCTCTAGCTATAGTGCAGACATAGTCATAGACTGTACTGACAGAAAGGAGTTTGGCTTCCTATTTGGCTGTTAATTACCACTGCCTTTTTGTTTAATTCATCTGCAGTGCTCCTCCCAGTCTGACCACAAATCAGCCATGTCCCCTAATCTGCAATATGGAGTATATCAGGCTGCTGAGAGCTGGAGTAGCAAACCTTATTTGTGGACAGAAAGAAGAGGTCAGCATCCAGAGAAAGGAGAGGAAGGATTTAATGTTCTCATAATAGGTAAATTCAGTGTCACTCTCTAACAGAGACTTTGGTTTTAGAGCTCAAACTGGGGTGCAGAACTCAGAAGGCACAGTACTGCAGGGAAGTACCCCCTCCCACTCAAACAAACCGCTTTGTCATGTTCTTATTCTGCAGTTGTAAAACCAAGGCAGATATTCCATTACCCTAGCCAGTTGCAAATAGAGGAAACGATAGTAGAGGTGTTTTCTGTCTACAATGCCTTAGGGTTAAATAATGCTGTTATCAAAACTCCTGTGAAGATTTTCCCCTCCCTTCTATTACTTCACACCCTGGAATTATCTCCACAGACAGTGGGAGAAATCCTGGGCTCTATCTGACTCCTGGAAAGGGCGTGGTAAACTCCCACTCAAGTTTTCCAATCCCTTTGTACAGGTGCCCACGAGAAGGTCTGTGAAACTGTTTGGTACATGGGCGGGAAAGAAAAGAGTGCTTTCGGATGGGAGAGATCCAAAATCTAAGACTGAGCTGAATTTAAAGCTAGGAATTTTTCCATTTATTAGTCGCATATTAATATTATAATTGCCAATAATGTGCAGGTTGTATTAGATATCCTGATTACTTTAATTTTCTTATTTTCTTCTTGTAAACTGTGTCCTTTTACCACTCAAGAATGTCTCTTGGAAGAAGAAAACATTTAGATAGTGTCATGAACTTTTGTGGGCACAACCCACTCTTTAGCTGAAGAAGTGGATTATGCCCGTGAAAGCTCAGGATGCCATCTACATGTTTTGTTAGTCTCTTAGGGGTTTCAAGACTATTCGTTGATTTTAAGATTTTCCAGTTAGTTCGTAACTCGGCTACCCCTCTGAAGGTCTTGGAAGGAAAGAACTTCCTGACTAGAGAGGCCCATTCTCTCTCACTCTGATGCAAATCTGGAGTAATAATATGTAGCTCTTACATTCGTTTTTCATCTCAGGAACTCAAAGTGCTTTAGAAAGCAAGTATCAGCTCATGGGATTAAACTAGGCAGATTCCCACAGAATAATCCACCTGATGTATGGGGAATCTATGCAGGTGTAGCTGCCTTCTCTACCAGTTTCTGTCCGTATGTCTGGTATAAGGATTGAGCTGGGCCATGGTGGAGTTGAGTTATTGTCCGCTGCTAGGAGGCCCAAGAATGGAAATTAGAATCTACCTTCTGCCAAAGTCAAGTGACCAAGGATCAGGGACCCATAACTGGGTCTCTGTGGCAGCCACTCTACATGCCTGATCTGTGTTTTAGGGTAGTAGAGAATCAAGGCCACACAGTGTAGGGTAGAGTTATGTTGGGCCTCATGTATTGTGGTGTCTGGGCTCTGTCCAGAGAGAGGAAAGGGGTTTTACTTGCATGCAGATGAATTCAGATGTTCATTTTCTGGTTCTTTTTAGGGACCAACATTACCTGCCCCCCATCACCTTTCAGTTCTCAAACTTGTCCAGCAGGTGGCACACTTTTCTCAGGGCTGAGAGGTGCTCTGCTCTCCAGGCTGCTGCCAAAGCAGATAGTCTCTAGCAGAGATACTCAGACCTCAGTGGTTCAGGAGCCAAATTAGCGATCACCATCACCCAAAAGAGCCAGAGTAGTGTGAATTCATTGTTCCATTTACTGTCATTCTAGATAGTCATATTTAAACAGTGTGACAAGGGAAATACTTAGTTCATTATCTTCCCAGCAAAATGTAAGAAAATATTATTTTATTAACTACAATTGGTTAATAACATAGTAAAAGCATCCTGATTGTTTCATAACTTAGATTGTGATTGAATTATTAACCAGTGCTTTAATATGAAGTGCTGCAAAGAGCCACAGGAGACACTTTAAAGAGCCATTTGTGACTGAGACATCACTGCTTAGAGAGTGCTTCATTAAAGCTCTTACTGACTGTTTCCTATGGCTTGGAAACACCACTCCACCTCTGAGACCAGACATAAATATCCTCTGCTTTCCATACTTACATGGGAGTGGTGCAACAAAGTTCTTTTGCCTCACGGAATAAAAGACCGAGCTGGACCACTATCTCTGCATCTGTTTACTGGCTAGTGGGCTGGAGGAAGTCACACCTTTTGGTCTACAACAGCTGACTAATGAAGCCCAGCTAACAACTTTACCTGCTCTTCACACCTCTTCTTCTTCCTATCCCCCCTCTAGTTTTAGTAATTGGTTCTTTCTATATTTGTATCTAGCACTTTCTTTTTTGTTTTCATCTTCTCTTTTGTAACCTTCATTTATTTCTTTTTTTCCAGTGTCATGTCAGACAAGCCAATTTACATTCTGATCATTCAAATATTTATTCATGTAAAAAGTACTTGCTCACCTAAAGAATTGCATTTAAACTATACCACGGCTCCAGTGAGACAGCACCTTTTGTGCTGTTTATGGAAGGAATCAAAGGTAGGAATCAAAAAATGGTTAAGGGATTTAGGAAGAAAGTTTCAAGGGTTAAAAAGATAGGCTGGCTGTAGAACAGCCAGCTGTGGAAAAGATGAAGGGTGTAAACACTAAGATGAAGGAGGAAAAGTAAATACTGGTGCCAGTGGAATAAGTTGGCTAGGGGGAAAAATGGAATTTTAGTGAGCAAATGAAATTTTATGCTGAAAATTAGGAAAGTTTCCCTGGTAGTGAAAATGTCTCCTTAGAGCAAGACTATTCAACATGCGGCCCATGGGGCGCATGCTGCCCACAGCCCATTTTTTTGAGGCCCACAGTGCAGTTTGGGTTTACACAGGGCTTAACACGTGGCCCTCGGGTGGGATCCTTTGAACATGGCCTCCACTGGGAACATGTTCCACAATGGCAAGTCAATATAATGGTCTTCTGTTGAGATGCTTTTTAGTAGTTAACTTCCTGGACTGTCATTGCTCATTAAAAGTGCTGCCATATGGGTAGAAATCAGGTAACTATTGCATTTTATTAATATCAGTAGAACTGACTTAAATGGGGCCTGCATGTTGTGTAGTCTTGCCTTAATCTTTGTATTCATGCCTGTCAGTGTGAAAGAAGCTATTTGC